CCTGCTGTATGTTTGTTGGAATATCTGAAGAAAAAAAAGAAAAATTCTTTGCTAAGACTTCCTGAAGATTTTTTAAGTTATAGCTGTAAGGATCATCTGCGTTTTGAATCAGTCTATTGAAATCACTGTTTGTTGGAACTTCACAAAAGGCAGCAGTAAAGGGACTGGCTCCCACCTCTGTCCCTACAGTCTCACAAGGAATCTCATTTACGGTAGTCTATCCCCAAATATGTGCAAAACTAAGTGTCATATTATCTATACATATATGTGTGTTAAGGTACCTGTTTTTGCATTGGAGCTCTAAGGCAAAGGAAGGTAGAAGTACTTCATCAAGACAAGTAGGACAGTAGGGAATCTATGCCCTTCCAATTCCAAAAGAAAAATTCTGCCTGGCATGGTGTAATACAATAGAGAATTCATTTTATTTACCAGATGAATAGACAACATGACTAATGAGCTGATAATCAGTAAAACAGGAAAAAACAGCAAAAGAAAAATTTCTTTCAAAGTATTTACTGACTTAGCAATCTAACAATCTTATCTCCCTTCCTCAGATGTGTTTTCTGAGTCAGCAGTTGTTAAATTTTCCAGCAAACCCTACATGAAAGAAAGTGTAAAGGGTGATTAGGGATTTCCAGTCAGTGACCTCACCTTTGAGTGGGACAGTCAACACATTTGCTGTGACATTCTTTCTATGAAGCAGTGCAGTGACGGCTGAAGTTGCTTTCAAGAAGTCATCTCAAACGTGGTCTGACAGTATCCAATGCCTTAACTTTTCTTAGTACAGGAGACAAATCACCTTGAATTTCTTAATTTTCTCAGCTGGTGACAATGGCAACTTATTTTGGAGTTACCTCAGCAGTATTTTCCATCTGGGTTATGACATTCATGGCTCAAAATTACTTTATAACAGGTATGTAAAGTTCCACTTTTAAAGTCTCCTAGTTGAACTAAAGTACTTGAAACTACTAGTTGAAGTAAAATACTTGAAAAAGTAGCTAGATTTGCAAACAAAAATGGGGGGAAGGGAGCATATGCAAATGTGTTTATGGCATAGGAAGCCACAGAGTTTTGAGAATACAGTGCAAAGAAAACTACTCTAGCATATAGGGGAACTCTTTCATTGTTAATCTAATTTAATTGTTGTCTAAATGTTGTAGAATTATTGTCTAAATGCTACAGAACTGCATGTTTTAAAGATTTGCAATTGCATTTAGGATTAAGTTCAGATTTATTGAAATGTGATTTTATTTTGTATTATTTAAAATACCACAGCAAACAGTTTTCTACAATCCTCAGAGAGCAAAACATGCATGAAACCAGTTCTGGGTGTCCATAATAAAATGCTATCTTTAATGCAAAGTATTTTGCTCTGATTTGGCAATGTCCTGACACTGTCTTGATTTGCAACATTGAAGGAAATGCGTGACAGGGATCTCACAGTTCATCTCCAGGGCAGTCATGCCTGTCTCGGTTAATACAGTGCAAAAGTTCCTGTTTTATGTAAATTATCTGTTTGAAAAAAAATAACAGAAAATTGCCAATATCAACTTCATCACACAGTTCTTAGATAACCCTCCTCCCTCAAACATTATTATATGAACCTATTTTTTTCAATCAGGGTCATATAATACTCCTTTCTTCTATATGTTAGTGAAATTTGAATGTTGTCTTCAAATTCCGTAATCAACTTGACACAATCTGTTCTAACTGCAGTAGCTACTAAGATATCTGCAGATACTCAATGTACATCAGATGTTTCACTGTAATTTTCAAGAAGTGCATGTTCTACCTACATAAACCTTTGTTGCAGACAATTGATTTTCTTAACTACTGAAAGGCTTCTGAAGGAAACCTGGACTGAACGAATTAGATGCTCAACTCGAGTCCTGTTGAAATTCCACAGGATTGGAGTACCTAAAAACAGTAGTCTCCTCCAGCAATCCCAACCACTGAATAATTTTCACTGGGGAAATGGAGAGCTTGAGTCTTAGTTCCCCTCCAGTCCTCCCTTGGGGTACCTACTCATGCTCATTGGTCCAAGAGCTTCAGCTAAGCTCAAGGCTGATCTCCAGCTGTGTCTTTGATCTGTGTTGTAGCATGCCCTGTCCCCTCCTGTAGTGACTTACTGACTGGGCTTCACGGATGGACCCTGGACTTAAGCTGTAGCTAGCCTTGTCTCCAGGATGGACTTCAGGCATGTGTTATAGGTAGCACCATCTTCTGCTGTTCCCAAATGGACTTTCTGAATGAACCCTGTGCCTGACTCATTGTCTTGCTCTCTCTGGGGCTGCCAGTGAAACCTGTCACTGTCACCACTGTGGTCCTGTTCAGGTGCTGTGGGACTGTGCCGTGGTTGGTGAGGGCACTGTCCTGCCTGTACTGTGGTCACCCTCTGCTCCTGGCTCCTCTTTCCTTGTGGAACAGCCTTATTGTTGCTGCTTCCTGACAGCAGCAGCAAAAGGAAACTCTCTCTAATAAAGCAGAGTGAAGACTTGGGGCAAGGCAAAGAGATAGAAATAGCTTTCCCCCCAAAAGCAAGAGAACTATTACACAATAGAGCCAATATCCATACCTTACAAGAATGGAACCATTTTCTTCCTGTCCTATGCCAACTTTGTCTTCTTGTGAGATTCTTCTGCCTTCTGTCTTCTCTTACTGAGAAAGGTCTTCCCACCTTTCTCAGTAAAACAGATTTCTCATACAAGACCCAACTACTGAGTAAAATGTCCCATCATTAGGAGGTTAACTAAATAGAGCAAAGCTTAAAGTACAGCCATGTGCAGCTTGTGGACCAAAAAGGATAATATGCTTCTGAAGGATTAGTCTGTCTCCTGTACAAACTCAGTCATCTTTAGAACAGAGTTCAGAGGTGATTTAAGTGATGAAAAGACCTGAAGAGGCTACTGTTCTCTTTCTGGATTTCTTCCTTGCACTGTAAAACCATCTGGAATTTAGATTGAAGCTGATAACTTTTCCAAAACTTTTCCCTTACTTCGCCATTTTGTTTTAAAAGGCTTAGTGAATTCTAAGGTACAACTTTGGTCCATGTCCTACAGCCACTTTTCTTATCACTTAAGACTTAATTTTCTGGTACTGAATTTTTATATTGTGCTATGTATCTATCATGCCATTCCATGTAAAAAATGTTTGTCCTGTAATTGAATGACTAAAGACTGTAACAGTTTACAAGGTTTCAGGAAATTCCATTCAGTCAGCTGCTCAGCTTTATTTGAGATTTGTAAGGTTGGTCATTGAGAAACTTTCATTCTCAAGATGACATTTTTTTAAAAAGTTGTATTAGTTCAAATCTAAAGATAGGAAAATAATTGACTAAGTAAGCAATAAGAGTGAGACGGAAGTCTGAGCATGAAAAATAGTAAGGGGAGAAAGGAATTAGGCCTAAACCCTAGAGGAGGAATGGGATCTTGAAAACTAGGAAAGAGGAATTGTGGCATTTGCCTCAGCAGCTGAGACAGGGAGTTACTCAGGAAACCAGAAACAATTCTCAAGAGGACCGTGAGAGTTGCCAGTTAGCAAAAGGGAATCAAGAAAATTTAATATTGGAATACCTCTCTGACATAGAAGTACTTTGGCCAAGATGAAGACATACAAGAGGACATTCATGAAGTCAGGCTGGCTGAAAGGAAGAAAGATGTGAATCATCTTCACACTGGGACCACTTGGATAGACTTGAGGTCCTTGGTACCTATGCACACATCTTCACTGAGTAACAGGGTTTCTCTGCATCCTTATGGAATATGTTTGGGCTGCTCTTATGTTCAAGTCAGGGCTGTATGCAGCCATGATTTGGCTATGGGAACTGCTCAAGTGTTCAGTGGCTCACCTGCCATGTGACTAGGTCTACTCCGTACCAGGAAGTGCTAATGGGAGGCCACAGCTGAGATAAATCCACCTAATTCAATGATTGCTCTACCAAACATTTAAGTCCAACTAAACTAAAAGTAAGGACAGCAGAGACACATCTTTGAACAAAAGCAGTTTCCAATCCCACCATACCCAATGGGAGCAGGAGTGAAAAGCCTGCCTTCTTTTAGCACTCCAAACAAGCTTAGTTATCTTTTTATCCCCTTCTCATCGTGGGAGTGGCTTGGCTGCTCGTTCTATCTTTTAATTCATAAAATTCAATTTAACCTCTGTTGCTAAGAAATCATTGTGGATCTGCAGGCATCACTTCATCCTGCCTTGAGAGTTCATGGATTGCCTGTATTCTGATGCATAGATTTTATGAAGTATTCATTAGTGTACATACCTGGTGGGCACACAGTCTGAAAAGCATGTTGAGCATGGAAGTAACACCTATGGCTGTTGGTTACCTGAAATGTTTGCAATGAAATGTTGAGATGTTTCATTTAATATGGCATCTATTGCATGTAACTAAAAAAAAAATCTTTTTCCAGCATATGCTTCTGGTGGAGGCAAAACAGTAATATCCTTTCTCCTTCTCTGTGTCAAATCCTGAGTTCTGTCCTATGTCCTTAACACAGGCTAAGAAAGTACAGCAGAAGTAATCAGAGCTAAGCTATGCCTTTCCTGGTGCAACTGTAATGGATAATGTGCCAGCTGTGGCTATCGAAAAAGCTGGATGAATGGCCTATGGAGGAGAAATGGGGAAAAGTGTCATAAATTCACCTGGCCTATCCCCTCTTTTCCTGCTGCCTGCCAACCACTCAGTAAATTGAACACTTGACAGTGGCTGTGGGGTGGAAGCATCATGCCAAGCTAGAAAAAAAAAAAGATGAGGAGAAATAAGGAACGTAAGGAATAATAAAATCTTTATAGGCATATTTTCTTGTTGGTGTATTAATTCCATGAAAAAATATGTATAATACCTTTGATAGAACTCACATTGGTTGAGTGGTGTACTGACAGAATCAGTGCCTCAGTGCAACTTTTAATTTTATCATTTTAACTTTAAAAAAGGAAAAAAACCTGTCTGATTACTCTTCCCATTTTGCATGAATAAGTATGACAAATAAGAATGTCTTTAGTAAGACACTGACTCCAGGTAATGACTCAAATGCCAACTGTATGTGCATTCAGTCTAATAACAGCCAAACCTCTTGAAATTCTAGACTATTTTGTTAGAAAATAAGTGCTATTTTCAAAGTATACCTTTTTGCTAAAAATTATTTTTCTGGTATCCTCAAACTAGAAACATTTAACAATGTTCAATTCAGTTGAATGTGATGTTAAAATCTTTATGAGGAATACATGTTAATATTCAAATACTAACCTTGAATCTTTATGTCTAAATTACAGGTTCCATTCTTTCACCTTGCAGGATCACAGGTGTAGGAATTTATCTTGAGGAGAAAGTGAATTTCTCAGAAGCAAGTAATGCATGTAATCAACTGAATCTACAATTGGCAAGTAAAGACCAAGTTGAAAAGGCTTTGAAACATGGCTTTGAAACATGCAGGTATATGATTAGTGTCTCATTACCTTTAGTGAACTCCTTTACACATATCTGAGGCTGGTGATAAATCTGACACTAAAAGGACTGATGCTTTTTATTGTAGCTATGGATGGGTGAAAGATAGATTTGTTGTCATTCCTCGGATAACATCCAACAAGAAATGTGGTAAGGGCAACATTGGACTAGTGGAATGGCATGCTGAACACTTTAGAACATTTAAGGTTTATTGCTTCAATTCCTCAGGTATGTAAGCGTGACAACTACATTTTTGTGTTTTGGTTTGGTTTTTATTGTTTTTTTAATATCTGCATGGAAAAAATCAAACAAGTGAGTGAGTTCTTGTAATTTGTTGGCCCTTTCCCCAGTCTTAAATGTTATCAAGCTGTATTTAGCTCTGAAAGGGAAAAAAAGCTTTGAAGAAATACAAAAGGTCAATTCAATTAATCTGAATTAATAATTTGGTGCTGCCATGAAAGCTCTTGACTTGCTTGTACTATTCTGTAATGTCAACACAATACTCTTAACATGTTTGATTATTTAGGCACATTAATTTGAAAGACAGTGAATCAAATCTTTAACCAGAGTGTCTGTGTGTGGCATGTATTTTCTTGCAAAAAGACCAACAATGGGGTACTTCAGGAAAAGCTGAATGTTTTTTGAAAAAAGGAAGTGTGTCCAGGGAACTAAACTAAAATATAAGCTAGAACAGCTGGGACACCATAAAATTAACTAGATTCCCAATCTATTATCAGTAAAATCAAACAGCTTCCTTTAATGTGCATCATCCTATGTGTGAAAAGACCTGTCCTTCCCCTCATTCTTGACTCCATTCCCAGATTGAAGATACAACAGTCGAACTAACTTGTAAGTTAGATCTTCTCAGCACAATAGATCAATATGGTTTCTTAATGACTTCTGTGGTATTAACTAAAATAAATATTTAACTAGAGGCATCGTGTTCCTGCTAGTGACCCATATGTGTGGTTATTATGTAACACCTATCCCAACAATTAGACCGTGTGCAGGATCAATAAATTATTTCTAAGCAGTCCCTTGACCTTGCCAATGAGTTTTAAATGAGAAGAGTAAGAGATTATGTTCAAAATCCTGAAATTTTTCAGGAAAGGTGTGTGAATAAGGGTTGGAAGGAGCAGGAGAAAGATGAATAGGTAAGATATGTTGATGTAAAGATATAAAGACCTACGACCATGTCTGGTGACTGCACGTTGGAGTTTACAAAGAGACTGACAATAAAGCTGTTAGGGAGAAGGCTGTGCCTTCAGCAGTGAGACTTTGTTCATGATCTTGGGCTATTTTAGTGAAGGAGGGTAGGTAATATAAGTAGTTGGCTTACAAAGTATCTGACTGCTGATAAGAAAGGACTGCAGAGAGAAAGCATCATTAAAAATTGACTTATCACCTAACCTGTTAAGTTAAAAATGACATGATTGGGCTAACTTAGTTTTTCTCTACAGTCCAGAGCTTTTATTGATGAATGTACAGGTGAATTAGTAATTAGGCAACATGCTCTAAAAGAAGCTGCTCCTATTGGTACTGTTATTTCTTCTGTTCCTATGCAACATGGTGTTTTGGTGCATTTCCTGCATCAGAAATGTCAGGTAACAACAAAGCAAATTACTTGCTTTGTTTAGCTTTAATTCAAAAAACTTATACCGTTACAGTATGTGAAGAAAGTTAAGCTTGCTAAATAGTTAGAAACTAACTTATAGTTATGTATATTTAACATTGGGATGATTTTGCATTTCTTCATCTTAATTGCCAAACTGTTGCCTGTTCTATAAATTTCAAAATATTTGGCAGAAGCTCATTCTGTCAATTTTCTTTGTGCCAAAGAAATGCCAAAAACACTTAAACTGTAGTGGAAAAAGTAAAAGGCCACTGCCATTTAGCTTTTTATTCTGTGAATGTAACTGCGTCATCAGACTTCCCACAGGGATTTATTGGAGAACAGTACATACGTCGTTTCCCTGTTATTTATGTTGTAATCTGCTTGTTACTTTAGTGAAATTTTTATAGCTTTACAGAATATAGAATTTCACTAGAAAAGAAGAATTTTCATATTTTCACATGAACCTGATTCAGAACTCAGCTTTTGCATTTACATAGAAAAATCCACTTGCACCCATGTTTTTATGTAGACAACATTCACATCATTTAAATAACTTTATTTCTGAGTGCGCGTAGAGTTTGTTTCTTTGTAGCCCCCATTAGAATCATGTCACTTTTTCATTTCACACTGGTGTCTGCTTTACCTGAAAGTTTTATGAGCTATTTTTGTTTCCTGGAAATCAAAGTAGTGTTCCAAGTATCAACAGTGCATGCATATGTTTTGAACGTATACATAATACAATAGAAATATTTTTGAATCTTGGGTCTGTGGTTAGGTGTCCTGCTCTGCAGGAGGTCATATTATTTTTTTTTATATGCATTATTATTCTAAATACGTTTCAGGAGGAACCTTGTCATTGGTATGCAATTATAAAATGAGCACCACACTTGCTCAAAAAAGTATTTAATTATGTGATTAATGATAAAAGGTGCGTAATCTGGGTTGTAGCCACACATTTGAAATAGGCATGCCTGATTTGGGTAAGGCTTTTGTGAATAAACAAATAATAATTTCCAGAAGGGAATGACTGAGGAACAATTTCTATAAACATGTGTGTACAGTAAGTACAAAACTAACATGCAACACAACTCTTACATATTTCATTTCCCTGCTGCAGATGTTCACATTAATTCGTGTAAACCAGATCCAACTACAACCATACTACCTTCATCAAGTGCACCAATGGACTTAACTGCATATTCAGGCTCTGATTTGACTGAGAACATCACAGCAGTGCCCAATGTGACTGAGTCAGAACAATCCCTGAAAAATATAAAATTCCGTGTAATATGTATAACTGAAACTATATTACCAACAGAGGGGACTACTACAAAAATGCCAGAGGAATACTCACTGACTGACTCTTCTAGAAACACTTCCCAAGCTGCCTTTAAGAACGGTGCCATCGTCTTTGGAGGTAAAGGCCATATGTGGTAGCTATTTAATCAGAAGAGCTACTTACATAGACATTAGTAGTAAAACCGTTTACTGCTATTTTTGTTTGCTGCTCCAGCATCCATTTTGATATAGCTGAACCTGGAGGCAGAATACGAGTCTTATGGTTTTGCAAAAACAAAGTTTATAAGGCAGAAGATTTGAAAATAATTTTTAACAAGTAGTAAGATCTTAGTTTATGCTTTTTGATAATATTTTATTATGAAATGGTGGAAATTCATTCTGGTTAATGTGATTTGGGGTAAATACATTTCTGAGAAAGTCTTAGCAAACACCATATGCTCAGAGTAATGGAAAACTCAGCAGGCTCTTAAAAACAAAGGAAGCCAAGAAAGTTTTAAGGAGAATTTTTGTTCCCCAAATATGGAGGTGTTCTCCAGATATGAGCTATGAATAAGGAATCCTAATATACAGCAACTGAGAGGTAGACTAAATATGAGGAAAAGCACTCTAAGGATAGTTAATCACAAAAATGTGTTCTCTAGGCAGGTTGTGAAAACCCTCCAATGAGCAGATTAGACAAACATCAGGGATTGCCTAAATACCTGTTTTACTCTCTTGAAACACCTCCTAACACCTCTATTCTTGAGTTGATGTGTACGTACCTCTTACACTAGGCTATTTTTAGAAGAATCTGGATTCACGCTCATGAGCCTTTAGAAAGTCAGCATTAAGTACATATAAAAACTCTGTGCTTTCTCACTTTTATCTCTAGGTATCCCCACTGCACTTCTTGTACTGGCAGTCATCTTCTTCATTATTTCAGTTGTTCTAGCCATCTGCTATATCAAAAAGTAAGTTTTTCTTTTTACTTTTTCTCTTGGACTGAGTTAACTCCTAGAGTATAACCAGTGAATATTTTAAATATATAGCTAAAGAGCAGAGAAGTAATGATAATGACATACCATTGTAGCACAAAGAACAAAATCTTAAACCCTGTTGTTATGCAGATAAAGTTGTTTGTTGCTGTTGCCATTCCCTGCTTTAGAAAAGGAACCAAAGATAAATATTGCCTATTTTTGATTAGTCAATCACGCCTAGTGTTAAACTTTTCCAAGTGTGCCAGAATAGCAACAATGAAGTGTGCACCTGTTTGTATATAAGCCTGTTTATACAGTTTTATTCTTGTTTCTTTCTATGTCAGACTCAAGGTAAAAGTTTTTTATTCTTGGACTATGATTGTGTTCAGAAAAAAATCATTATTGAACTCATTTGTCATTTGTAAAGATCTTCAGCAGAGTGCATCAATAAATAGTATCAAAAAGTTGTGTGCATTTCTCACACCCTAGCCCAGATAGCTTTATTGTTATGTACCACAAATCCTGAACATACATTGCCTGTTTTAAAAAAAATACAAGAATATTTCTTTTAAAAGCACACTGCTTGAAATAGCACAATGATCTAGCATGCCACTAGACTCTGTGAGACTTATGTCTCTGTGAGATTTTTGCTTGAGTACAGTAAAGAAAGTTGATTCTAGGTATTTTTCACTTTATTTCTTGAGTGATACTACCAAACTATGTCAGAGTTTCTGCTTTACTATCATTTTTTCTATTTAAAGGTACAAGAAAACCTTCCCATTTTCAAACAAGAATGAGCAAAAAGAAATGGTTGAAACTACTGCCCTCAAAGAGGCTAAGTCAAATGACAAAACACAGGAGAAGGAAACAAAGAATAATGGAAAAAAGGTAGAAGAGTCTAAAACCAAACCTGAGGCCACAGTAAAATGTCTAGAAGCAGAAGTTTAAGGGGAAGAAAGTACACTTCTTGGTAGAAATATAAAATGAAGCACACAGAACTTAGCAATGCTTTTGAACATGGGTGATATTGTAAATACTCATGAATGAATATTTTTTCTATCTTAACATAAGAAAACATGTTTTTTAATAATTACGTCTTTAGCTATAAATGCTCTTGCAGAACATCATGTATCTTATTTACATGAAATAAAAAAAATCCATATTACAGCTCATTTTTCATCTTTATTAAAGAAGTAATTAGGAATATGCTATTAAAGACATGCAGTGTGTTAACTATTGGTATGGAATTCAGATCAGTATATAATAAAAAGGTTTCTTTCATCTGGCTGGAGGATGTCTGCTAACTTCATGTCTAAAATAAAATGATGATAGTGTAGCTCTTCCTCATGTAGATTAGCTTATTTCCATTAAGTAGTTGCATACAGTTTTTTTTAAAAAAAGTCTGTTTACAAACAGAAGAAATAAGTATGTTTACAAGTGAGTAAAAAATCAAAAGATCAACCCACTGTCATTCAGGTACCCAAGGAAGGGTACAAAGATGCTGATGTTTATATATACACAGCAATGAATAACTTTCTTTGAAGATATCTTCATCATATCATAATTTACTGTTTTATTTATTAAAACCTGTATCATTTTTCTGCATCAGATATTTGACAGGGGAAAAAAAAATCTTGAACTGTATCTCAACAGTTGTATTTATGATCTTTTGTGTATATTTAAGTAAGTGTGGCTTTCATAATAAAGATCTCAAGTGGTATGGGACTTTACAGTACTTTGTAAAAAAATAAAGTATGGTAGATATGTTTGTCTGGACAATTTATTCTCATGAAAACTGTCTCACAGTAAAAGGCTTGTATAACCTTAATGTTACAAAAGTAATTAGTTGTTACAAAAGAACACAACTAGCAATTTATCAAATATTTTTGTGAATAAATGGTTTGGATAATCTCCTTCACATATAAAAATAAGTTGTTATGGCAAAGAAAGTTTCTTTTTAGATCAAGCAGTTTGAAAAACATAGTCTTAAATCAAATAGCAATAGAACTGCTCACTTATATTGTGTTTTCTACAGGGTTATCTACAGGTTTGATTCACAGAAATTTAAAAATTGCCCAGTGGTTATATATTCCACTAGATAGTCCTAGTGTATTGCTAATAGCATACTTAGAGATTGGCTGTGTTGGTTTTTCTTTTCTCTTTTTTTTTTTTTTGTTTGTTTTGTTGTTGTTGATAGCTCAGAAATATTTCATGGCTCCAAGCATCTGGACTATGTTGATACGCAGTCCAGCACTGCCATTAAAGAAAGACTGTGATTCAGTACAGCTCCAAAAACCACTAATTTCAGATGTCCATCAACAGAATTTCAGTAGAAAAATGTGCAACAGAGGAAAGCACTAGATACAGCCTTCCCACTCAGTTAAGTAATTCCTCTCCTTGCAAAATATCTTGCCATATCTCTCTCCTGGCAACTTGACTGAAAGCACCCTATACCACGTGACCAGTGAGAGCAGACGGCAGAAATAAGGCCATCATGAAAGGCCACAGCCAACACTTGTCATGATGGTGTCAGAATAGCAAACAGGCTTAAGGATGCAGGCAACACTAGTGGATACTGGGTAATGTTGGACTTTTTTGTGACATACTACAATTTCCCTTCCGCCTCACTTTTCCATGTTTTAGAGATTAGAAATTACCTGTTTCTCCATTATTTTCCCCACTACCAAGAGATAATTATCTATCACTTCTCTTATTCTCCTGCTACTATTACCTCTATTCCACAGGTATCAACTTTCTTTTCTCTCAGATTGTCTCATTCACACCTAAAGAAATTCAGAAAATCGTTCTCTAGTTCCACCCCAGGCTGGAAGTTTGTTGCTTCTGTTTTAGATCTAAATAAGGGCTTTTTTTCCCCCTGAAGTGTTTACTCTCTAAAAAATCTGTACTAGTTGATATAGTAAGATATTGCCTTAACCTATAAATGTCTGGGCTTATCCGACACCTTAAAAACTCAGGTAGGTTTCATCCTGACCTTCACACTGACACCTGGCAATTGCACATAGTATAATCTGCCCTTCCATTACACAATTTATGCCAGCACTACATAGGTTAGAAGGAACCTGTTACACTGTTCTGTATGTAACGCTAGCTATAAGTACTAATCAACAAGTACTGTATATAACGAGTACTATTCAGTCATATTTGAATTAGAAAGTACAGAATGGTCTTGCTCATTGTTTAATGGAATTGCAAGGGATGTACCACCACAAAGCAAGCAGGAAACATTTAAGTTCTAGACAGAAAGTATCAAAAAACCAAACCCTTAACTGGTAGTAGCAGAAACTTAAGAGAAAGTCTTCATTATGTTTCTGACTTTTCTTAAGTGTCACGCTTTTTTTTAATGAGACATTCTCAACAGCTATGAAGTTCCTTGATGTCTCAGAAATTGCATTTTGCTCAAGTATCTTGTACAAATAATTCATTCCACCTAGCAGGAGACCACAGTTTCTATTAGTCATTTGACAGTAACACTACTCGGATTCCCACACTGAGGCTACAGATGTTTGCTGACCTTAGGCGAAAGGGAGGGTTGGCCTGCAGGAAATACAGCGAGGTTCCCAGTCCAGCCCAATCCTTGTCTGGAATATAGGGGTGCCTTTATCGTGGGAAGTACGTGTGTCTCTGTGTGAACAGAAGTGGGCAGGAAGGGGAAGTACTACTCCTTTTCTCCTCTTTAGAGAAGAAAAAAAAAAACAAACAAAACAAAAAACTCTAGAATTAAGCCTTAAAGCATCAGGATGTGGATGACCTAGAGGATGTTCTAGGATTTCTGTTCCTAAATGGCTTGTTATCATTTATGGGTGTTGGAGATTTTTTGTAGAAGGGTCAATGAGCATCAATCTTTGCCACACACACCCAACTCCCACATCCTCCCCACAGACCCCAGTGCTCCCTCCCCCCCGCTATTCTGGCAGGGCGGGGTGGGATTTGCACTGGCAGTTGCTGGCCTGTGATGATCCCACCAAGGCAGGCACTCAGACTCCATTAAGTAGCATTTAAATTGCTATTGATTAGAGCTAATAGAAAAGAGAGAATAGTCCAGGTATTCTAACGTCCCTTCAGAGACTGGGAAACCTGAGCTGTGCAGCACTGCTGAGGGTGCAGCAAGTCCCGCCTGTGGAA